TCAATAAAAATTAAAGATCCACCTAAAGTGAGAACAATAAAAAAACAATTATTACTGAGGAATCAATTTTGAGAAGTGCTATTAAAATGGGTCTTATGCCCATTGCTGGAAAAAAGTACAAATGGCCAATAAGCACATGAAAAGATGCTCAATATCACTAATCATTAAAAAAGTGCAAACACAAACCACAATGTGGTTCTACTTCACACCCATTGGGATGACAATTATAAACCAATAGCAACACAGAAAATAACAAACACTGAGAAGGTGATAGAGAAATTGGGAAACTTGCATGTTGCTAGCAGAGATGTACAAGAGTGCATTATCTATGGAAAACATTATGGTAGTTCCTCAAAATATTAAACATAGAATTACCAAGTAGTCTAGCAATCCCACCTCTTGGCACCTAAAATACCAGAAAGCAGCGACTAGAACAGATTATTTGCACATCTAGGATCATAGCAACATTATCCACAATAGTCAAAAGGTGAAAAGACCACAAATATCCACCATCAGATGTAGGGATAAACAAAAGTGGTATATATAAACAACAGAATACTTGTCACCATTAAGAAGGAAAATTCTGAAACACACTGCAAAATGAATGAACCTTAACGACATCATCCTAAATTAATAAACCAGACACAAAATGCCAAATATTGGATGATTCCACTTACATGAAGTGCCTCTAAGGTAGAAAACAGTGGAGACCAGAGGCTGGGGTGGGAACATGAAGGGTTATTGTTTAATGAGTAAGGACTTTCAGTTGTGATGATGAAGAGTTCTGGAGATAGGTGGTGGTAATGGCTTCACAACAATCCGAATGTACTTAATGCCATTGAATGGTACACTTAAAAATGGTTAAAATGGTAAGTTTCATATTATGTATATTTTACCATGACAATAAATAAACCTACAGAAGAATCATTAAAATTAGAAAAGCTCTGGGTCAAAATCAAAATTTTAAAAGTAAAATTAAATGCAGAAATTATTTAAGTCTTTACTCCAACAAAATAAGATGAGAAATAAACATAAGAAGAGAGCAAAATGGTTACTCTCTTGAGAATGAACAAAAGAAATTGTTGGGTTCATGACAGTAGTCAGAGCTAAAAGCCATATTAAAATAGAGGGGCTGGGAGAACCACTACTGAACTATAGGACAGCTGGTGGCCTCAGCTTCGACTGTCCTGTTGGTTAAAGACAGCAAGGAAATCCTAGTGCATAACAGACCTGCCTTGTATTCTAACTGTGGGGTTAAAACTCATAGAACTGTATACCTTAAATACAGTCAATTATACTGGATGCTAATTTTTGAAATTATAAAATAAAAGCTATAATGCCAAAACTCAAACCAAATATGATGGCAATCAAAAATTATCACTTATAATTATCCAGTGCTTTGGCCTTTTTAGCCGGAAAAAAAAATGGAAAAAGTGCTAATTTTCTCCTATGGACTATAAAGTCTTAAAAATTATAAAATCTAGACTTGATCTCTCTGTGTCTCTAATATGTTCTCATGGGTACAAAGAATGAATAACAAGTGGTTTGAAAGTTCAGGAGAGCAAGGAGGAGTGATCACCACCCACAAACTGTGATAATAGGAGCATAAACTACTGATATTACATTGTTAAATAAATAAGGTAAAAGCATCTCTTTCCATTTCAACTGATGCTAAGAAAACAACAGTGCAGCATTTTCTTAGTATAAAAATAATGAGCTGTGCTTCCACCTCTGTGTCCTTCCTTCCCAAGACAACTCACACTTTTTCCTCAGTCTTTGAAGCACAGTTTTAAAACATCCAATTCCAGTGGAAGAGTGGACTGTTAGGGATTTTATGGTTGAAATGGAAGCCTCCATTGTTGATATGTTCATTGTGTTATTTGACTTTATTAGGAGAGAAAATAAATTATGAAAGAAAATATTTGTAGGCTAGCTATCATTCATTCTTTAACCTCCCCTTCCACCAGCTGCCAAACATTAAAAAAGAAAGAAAAGAAAAGCAGGCCCAGATATATTTTCCTCTGAGAGCCTCCAATCTTGCTATTTGGTATTCCCAATTCCAACTACTGCCTCCCCTGCTTCTATCTAGGTACTACTAGAATTGTTTAAACAACAAGCAAGTATTTCTATTTTTTTTTTTTTAAGATTTTTATCTATTTATACAAGCACTGGGTATAGTCAGAAGCACGGGAGGGTGAGAGAATTCACCAGAGCCAGAGCAGGGAGCAGAGTAGGGAGCAGAAAAGGCAGAAGGACAGAAGTACACTGCTGAGGGGAGCCGCGGGCAGCAGGAGAAGTCTGCGCACCATGTGGGACCCTCGCCGGTGGCTGGGGATCGAACCGGTGCCGCAGAGGCTGTAGGCATCTTCGCAGCCCAGCGCTCAACTGCTGCACCACCAGGGAGGCCCAACAAGCAAGTATTTCTGAAGGACACAGCTTCTCCATCTTGCTACCATTGTGGGTGAATAAAAAAGTAGATGGAGGCCCAGAACTTGATGAACAAGAGAGAAAAGGAAAGAAGTAAAGAAAGAGAAGGGGAGTAGAACGGTAAGAACTGAAAAGAAAGACAGGAAAAATTCAATGAAGAAAGTTGGAAAAGAGGAAGCCATGAAAGTGAAAAAAAAGAATGACTTTTAGAAATAGGAACCAAAACCTAGATAATTTGGAAGTAGGTTCCTATTTTAAAATTTTCAGCAGCCTTAAGGACTAAACAGCTTATGCCATTCAATCAAGCTGTTGATTCAAAATCAAACAAGACTCTGATAATTCCATCAAGTTATTTTATGTCGAATGTTATGTGTTTCTAGGTAGGCCTTTTCAGGTATGGAAGTGTTTTCACAGCTTGTCTAGCACGTAATCTAGCACTGGTCTGAGCTGCTCGTCTGCGTTCTCATTCCATGGATAAGTAATGACATAATTGAAATTGCTTGCCCACTTGGAACCTCAGAGTTAACCTGTTTTCAAAACTACAAAGCATTTCTTTTGAATGCTCCAGATCAATAATTGCCTCTTCACCCTCTGCCAAGTGTCCCCTGATAGCACAGGCATCCCCTGTGTGAATCACGCCCACCTGCTTGTAAGTGCAAAGGCGCCTTCTCAGGATTTCTGGGACTCCTGTCTACTCTGGGACTCCTATCTACTTTTGCAACATTTCATCCCTTCCTCCATGACCGACAGACTGCTATACTTACATGATTTAAAAAATAAGAAAATGTGAGACCTGGGGAGGTTAAATGACCAGACTTACATATCATTTCAAGGGCAGCTTGAGAGCAGAACACTTTGTGGAGCTGTACTGAGCAATCTGGAACATTAGCAAGAGCATTAGACCAACTACTTTGGCTGCTTTTATTATGCCCTAACTTATTTTTCTATACGCAAATTTTACTTTACTAATCTAATAATAGACAATAAAGCAGTAACCACAAAAAGGAGTATTTATTATACCAGACACTATGCTAACAGTTTTTTTTTTCCTATAGAATCTTAACTATCCAGCTGTAAAAATTTCCCCATTATAACAAATAGTGCAACTTTCCAATGACACAGCTTTCCCTTCAAAGGGACAAGTTTCAATTCCTTTCAGTTATGTCAATGCTGTAAAAACAAAGATGCTCTAGTAACTTATGCAATGGAAAGAAATACATGCTTTTAATTTTTAGAAGGAAAACACATGCTTTTTGTAATCTTCAAGGTAGAAGAGAGGTTTTTGATACTGAAGAGATAATTCCTTTTCATTAAATATAGGGGTATGGCTCTCATAAAAGGTGGGCAACCAAACTTGAATTAAGATGGATTTTGCCATTTCCCTCACACTATTGGACTACAGAAAATAACTGCTATCCCCTAGACAGGTACTTACTAACTTGAAACCAGCAAGAATGTGTTAGGGTCATTTCTAACAATGGAAAATCCTTGATTCCAGGAGATAAGGTTGAGGCTGACAGCAGCTAAAGATGACTGAAGGCTTATAAGCATTTTGCATGTATTATTTTACTTAATCCTCAAAGCTTTATCATACAGAACAATATTTCACATGAAAAAAACTTGACCATTGATACACCCAAATAAGATCTCCTATTATAGAGCTCAGGCTCATAAGCCATAATACTATATATACCACTTAAATATATGCATTTGCAAGATTTAACATTTTTAAATGTTTAAATAAAATTTGAGGGGCATGCTTTAAAGAAAAGGGAGGAGTATAAGTCATGCAGCCAGTTACTGTACCAGTATACCAACATGCTATTAAAACTAAGTGACTACAATGCTAAGCTTGAACCTATGAAAACTCGCTATTTCACGGTTTCACGGAAGGTAATGCTGAAACACCAAATTTGAAGTTTCTCTGACGAGAAACCAGATGCAAGATGTACCAATTGAACCTGAGAACAAAACTGGAGACCATGTAAGGGGCCTTTGCTTTGCTGTTTATTATTTATTTAAATGTTGTGGCTGTATGTTAACCAAATGTTTTGGCTGTACTGCTCTAAGAATTTAAAGTTCCTTTAAAACTGAGAGAATAAACACAGGGAAAATAAGTCCAATGAGACTCACTTAGGGTACAGATTTGAAGAAGTGGTTGTAGTAGGAGTTAGAGTGGCTATAGAATGCAATTCCGGATGAAAACTTGTTACTTTAAAGCACCTAGATCAGGTGGGACAGTATTTTCTCATGTTCCACTCCATTCCATAAAAAGGAAGTAATTGTGATTTTCACTACCATTATTACTTTTCTCATCACTGTTGGAGAAGTTCTAGAATTGGGGAAGCAATTTTCACTTTGGAGGCATTGATTAGTCAGCCCCAATGCTGCTGGTAGCAAACCATCTGAGAGCGTAATTCCTCTGTTCCTACACTGCTTCCTGGTTACTCTTTATCTGAGAAGCAGTTGGGTAAGAAAATGGATGGTGGTGTTAAAAGAAAGGTCAGGATTAAGAAAGGTGGAACAATGAGTGTGTCCTCATCCCCTTTCTCTTCATGTCCTCATTTTGGCAGATCAGTGCGGAGAAACTTCCACAGAAACAGCACATATGAAATCTGCTGGGCTGGTTTAAGCATTCGATGGGAAGGAGTCAAATCAGGTTCTATTTTCAAGTCTCGTGAAGACACTTGCCAACCAAACACAGCTCAAAATGTTAATGTGGTTTTTCTCTGAAGTCTTTCTCTCAGAACAGCTCATTCAAGACTGCAAAGTCTTATCTGCATCATTATATAATCATCTTCAATACTATCTTTCTTCTTAGAAGCAAGTAAAATACCAACAAGACTTGTGATGTAAACAATCTCACTTTGAACTTTCTATGAACAAACGATATGAAAAAGGATGCTTCTCTGTTGTTTTGTTTTTTTAATTTCCTTGATCTTCCAAATGGCTTTTCACAAAAGAATTAATTCACAGAGCACAATCACTGAACTCAGCAAAATGAACGCAATTCAGAAGGTTGTTATTGTCACTAATATGCAAATCCTGCTCATTGTTTTATTCATCCTTAATAATCTAAATGCAAAAATAACAATTTCCTTTTACATAAAACAACTTAAAATAATATATATGAAAATATGCACTTATTTTAAGAACACCATGGTAAAATGGGAAGAAGTTAGATTTAGTTTTCAGTTGCCAGGATTCCAGACACATTTCTGTTAATATCTGATTCAGTCAGGTCACTACTTGGAGTTTAAATAGCCTCATCAATAAAATTAAGGAGTTGGAAAACAAGAATGGTTTTTAAATTTTGTTTGAGTAACATAATCTTTCATTCAAACAATTTTAGTCAGTAGAACTCAATCTATAAAACAAATAAAAGCGAATGGCACTGTTTGGGAGTGCTTGGAAGCACTTGGCATTCCCATGACTAGTTTAAACAACCATGTTCCACGGTTGTGGAGGACCTTTCTATTTCAAATACACTTGCTAAGACATGAGGCTATATGGCTTTCCTTAAGTTCCATTCCACTTTTTTCACTCCTTTCATTCTCTTACATTTCAAGCTCTTCCACGATCCACCAAGGATTCTTAACTGATTCACCTTTTTGAGGCTTAACTTAACCACTTAAAAAGAATAAATATTTGCTGGGTAAAACAACTTCTAGAAAAATATGGTGTTTATAAAAATAATCTGCTTCTATATACAAGTTTGAAACCATTGAGCTACTTACTTAGTCATGAAAATTTTATAATTTTTCACAGTAAGACTAACAGGAGGAATATTTCAGCTATAGATAAAAAAAAATAGAATAAGAGGCAATGTCATAGTAAATAGTCTACTAATGCATCTAGAAAAAGAGTAAGCTTTCAAGGGTAATACCAGAAAAAGGCATACAAAGGTTCTCTACAAAACATAGAACAATAAACTGGAGTAACTACTCACAGTTTTTTGGGTAAATTCACTGCCTCCCATGGGTTCTTAGAATGGGTCTTAGACTTATACCATACAAGGGAACAGAATTATTACCTAATAAATAAGATGATTTGCTATAATTTAAATAACTTGCTTTTAGATGTTGCCTTGCAAAATAAATCTATATAAGAAAATTCAAACTTGTCTGATATGTGATACTGCCATTAAGCAATTAAAAGAACCTTGATATCATCAGCTAATAACTGATTAATCAACTATAAACACTAAGCATTTATTATTAGCTAGTTCATAGTGTTTGATAAATGGTTAACTCATTCCTTTACTGCTAACCACTTTAAGTGTATGATCTCATTTATCCTCACAATAAAGATATCATGTAAACCCACATTTTACAGAAAAGAGAACTAAGTCATGGAGAGGTTAGGTATTGTCCAATGTCACAGGCAAGTAAATAGCAGAAACGTGACTTAAGGCAAAGATAGCTGCAGGCACCACACTTAATCATTACATCATATATTCCCAATCACTGAGTAACAGTCTCTTAAAATATCAATCTAGAGGTAATGTAAAACATTTTTGTTACTTTGGCCTTTATTTTCCCTTTATCACTTGCTGAGAGATTGTTTATATATATAAAATTAATTATGAAGGCTCTGCCCTATGATTGCCAGTTCTATGTCATGCAATTCACATGTTCTAACCACTGACATTGACACTTAATCATAGAAGTAATGGATAATATTCACAGATAATATTTAATAGTTTTCTGGGATCAGAAAACCCAGAATTTGTTCCTTTTAAGGGTTATCTGCCTTCATTTGGGTTCTTTAGACTCAAAAATTTTCTATAGTTAAGTGACTTAGGGAAAGTTTTACTGCAAGTTTGAATTTGTCTTCATAACTATCCTTCATAATTAAAGGACACCGGCTATATAAACCAACTAGACAATTAGGTTGAAGAACAAATTTGGCATATAAATATAATCTGTGAATTGAAGAATACTAGTTGCTCACCCTTCTTTATATATAGCCATGACTAGAAAATTGAATAGCTTTATTTTTCTTGATAAAATGAATAAAAAAGTTACTTTTAAAATATCAATAAATTGGTTTTGCTCTTCTAATTGCAATCCTTTTACATAAGGTACACCCTAGAGTGACCTAGGCATGTTCATCGAGGAATGGGCACAGAATGGTGGCCAGAAACCCTGGCATTGACAAATAGTCCCATGTAATCAACAACAGAACTTCAAATAGAATTTTAAAGTTTCTCTTTTATTTGACTGTTCATTACAATAAAAATGGGTACTGTGCAAAAGCACACGTGTACTGATGTCTGTTATCATGGATGAGATACCATGAAACACGAAACAGCTGAAAACAAGGAAACACAGAAATAGCATGAAAAAGACACTCCTTGCACTGTCTTCATTGTCCAAATGTCAGACAGCTCTCAGGAACCCCATGGGTGGTAATAGCTATCGAGCAGTTCCTACTAGGTATATCCTTTAAGGAGATTCTTTACAGTGCTGGGTTCTGACTCTAGCCCATATGGGCTTGGAAACGTCAGAGACAATGTTGGCTGCGCTCTTCTGCTGGCCTATTTGCATATGTTCTTTAGTATGCAGAATGTCTCTGTATATAATTTAATTGTTGTTGGGTTTTTTTTTTTTGCCTCTATTAATACATATGCAAATGATTCACACTTGCAGCTGTGCTGTATTAATCATATGTGTGCTTCTGTCTGTCTGCCCTGCAGGCTCAGGGGCAAAGAGAGAGGAAAAGAGGGAACTGAGTCTTTTAACCTGGAAGAAAACTTATTCATGCAGACAGAAGTTCAACAGCAAACAGCTCACTGCAGTTGATAGAAATGAGGAGCATTTGATCATTTTTATCCTGTATGGAAATGACTCAGACCTGAAAGTTAAGCTCAATATTAAAGTATCTAGGTAGGCAAAGATGAATACAAGTAAGTCTTCTAGTTGTACAAGTAATTCCTTCAACAGAAGTCCTCACATCTGGACCGCTCCATATGGTTATTTCTCCTTATTGATTTTCTAGGGGTTTCTCCTAGTCAGACACATATAGTCATGATCAGTCACTTTTGCTGCCCTGGGAAATATAAGGCATTTATCTGTATCCTGTCATAATTATTGACCTCCTTCAGAGACAGGCAGAAGGTTGATAAAAAGATGAACTTCAGCATTTCATCCATTCTACCTTGATGTTATTCTCTGTCAGATAGAAGCTGACGCCATTTCCACTATGACTTTCTATGTACCTTTGATAGCTATGAAAAAAGACTGATATCAGTTGATATTTTGTATGATTCATTGTCTAACATGATCATAGGTCATCTATCATTTTTCCATCCTAAGAAGGCAGATCCCTGATGTTACTGGTTATGGAAACTGTAACCCCATGTGGTTTCATTTAATGACAACTTTGTAATTTTGAGTTTTTATTATAAAAATATTATGATGGGCTTTTAAAATAGTTCTACAAAATGATTAAAAAGGTAAATTCATTCAATAAACACTCTCGAATGAATGTTCTTTCTTATTTTGAGTAAAATATAATCATCCACAAAGAATCATAATCTTTTTTCCCTTGCTTATCACTATTAATCATTGGTTGGAGTAGGCATTTTTGGCTTCCTATAGGTAGAACAGGTGGCAGCCATCTTTTGGCCAACACAAATGCAGTATTTATAAACTGAGAAATAAGTTGATAAATATTTCCTTCTAATTTCAAATCATAGAAGCCTCGTTAAAAAAATAGAAATAGTAAACTACACTACAACTATTACAATTTAAAAATTCATGATGCCCATTAGGTAAAATGCAAATTAACAATGAACATGAGGAATTACTGTTAGATGGCCTACAGCCATATTTGGGTTTATTAGTTAGCTGAATTCATCTAGTCACAAATGTCCAAAAGATTCAAAGTATAATTTTATTTTCTGTAAATTATTGTAATTAATTTATAAAGGAAAGAAATCACTTATACAACTTAATTCCAACATAAAGCAGAATACCTATTTGAGCAATTTTTTTTCTATGTATAATAATGTTAAAATTTATTCTTCATCCTTTCATTTAATAGATATTTATTGAGTCCATAAAATATTTCAGTACTAGGTTAAATGCAAACTATGGCAAGTCACTGACTTCACTAATTTTTTCATTTGGTACAAGTCAAAAAGTAGGGTTTCAAATATGTTCAAAAAGTGCTATAACAGCAAAATACTGTGTGCTCTTTGGACATGTAAGAGCCCTGTTAATCCATCCTGGGGGGCAGTGACGTCTCCCCTACAAAAGTGAAGTTCTGATTTGCACCCTCAGGGGTAAGGAGAAATTGGCTTGGGAAAGATGGTGGGTCATAGGGTTCCAGGGAGAAGAACTACCACCTGTAAAGATCTAGATGGGAGAGAGAACTTGAAGTCACTAGGGAATCACTGCTGGCCTTTAAGTGGCCTTTTTTATTGCATGGTAAGTATTTCATTATCTTATCAAGGAACATTAATAGGTAAGTAATACATAGTGGTCTAATTTAAATCAAGGACATGATTGGATTTTCTAAAATGAGAAAGATCATTTTGACTAACAGAAAGACCAGGTCGAGAGCCAATGAGTAAACTATGAGAAAGCAAGATGGACATCCTGACACAGAAGGCTGACTCTCGTGATGAAAAGGAAGATTTGATTTTTTATTTATTTATCAGGAGGAATGAATGATATTGATTTAATACATACAGAAGTGGAGGACTAAGGACAGCTATTATGATTCTGGGTAAAGCAATTGATGGGCAGGTTTGGGGGCAAGGAAAAGTACTGGTGAGCTCTATTCTGGACTTTGTTATAGAAGCTGTAAATTTTGGTTTATTTGTCCCTGACAACCTACAAATAGTTGCCTACATTGGTCTGAAGCTCAGGAAAGACTAAAAAGGCACAAGAGACAAAGGCAGATACTTCATTGTAAAATAAATAAATAAAATGGTGCCATGGCAACATGTTAATTTGTATGTTTTATATACATTTTTCTCCATAAAAATAAAAGAAAATATGACAATATTTTGACTATTTTACCTGTTTTTAAAAGTACATTGTAAGGTACCTTTTAATAAAAGGTATTTTTTATTGCATGGTAAGTACTTCATTATCTTATCAAGGAACATTAATAGGTAAGTAATACATAGTGGTCTAATTTAAATCATATTATTTTGCTTATCTTTTAAATTAATAGACATACTCAAAGAATCTGGCTATTGGTTTTAAATTAACATAATATTACCCAAGTGTGAATACTTATATGCAGAAGTATATTTCAACACAAATATTAAGTAAACAAAATCAACCAGGAATATATTCATAGTGTCCCTTCTTAGATCTAGGTGTTCAGAAAGAGAGTGCTGAATTAACATATATCTATGGAAAAAGGTACACAATAGAAAATGCAGTCTGGAGAGTTGTCATTATAAAGCAGGCTACTTTTTTTCAGTACAGCAATGCATATAGAGTTTACATAGTAGTGCCAATTAACCAGCATTAATTTTATAATTTGATTAGCAGGTCACAGATATCCTAAGAAGCGCAATGTCTTCAAAGTTTAAAATAAAATCTCCTATATTTGGAGAAGCAAATACAATTGTTTAGAAAGCATGAATTTTGAACTCTGTGACCTGACTTTCTTCTGTCAAATGGGGATATTAATACATAACACAAGTGTGGCAATAAGAATTAAATGAGATAGTCCTTATGAAAGACTTTCTAGGAAACCAAGCATAAGAATCTAAGACTGAATCTTAATAGAAGAGCATCCTAGTAGTCACTGAAAGAGGCTCAAAAGTGAGGGAGTCTAGAGAAGGTATTACTAAAGGGCAGATAATGGAGATTTAACAGTAAAACTAAAAGCAGGGCTAGAAAAAATTAAAACTGGCTCACACATTATATTTCACTGAGATAAAACTCAGAAGTAGGCTCAGGAGATCAGGGAAAATACAAATAAGAGTTAAGATTTCTCACTAGGCATTGTAGTCAGCTTTTCTCTGAGCATTTTGGGCTCAGGCTTGTGGAGAAGAAAATAATTTTGACTTTATTTTAAAGCAAGGGGAAGGATATTAATCCAGGGAAAAGCTGAAGTCAAGGATAGGGAAGGATGAATATTGTGTCACAGATGAGTCAAAAAGTACGTTGGTATGAGTGTGCTGGAAATGGTAAGAGTCATCCACTTCAAGGAGAAGTTAGACTCTATCCTGACATGCATTTGGAATATATTTGCATCTCAGAATCATTTTTTAAAATCATAAATGTGTTTTTACAGTAGTGAGTGGCTTACCTGAAAGATACGTTGTCTTACTACAGTGCTGATTTCTGTGATTGCCATGAAAATATTTTAATGGGCACAATGCCACTTATATAAAAGTACCTTTACCTCATTTATAGATCAAATGATAGTTAAAGTGAGTACTAATATGTTTGGTCTCTTTTTTCTTGTTTTCTGGTAAAGGAAAAATTTCAACATGTTTAATTTTAATTTTAATGGCATTCTATCACATATCTATCATGAGGGACAGAAACAAAACTTTATTTGTGTCAAATATTCTAGTATCTCCACAACAAAAGAAGGCAGGATTGTTGCCATAAGAAGCTACTTTCTACTGGGATCCTACAATGAAGGGGGAGGGTCTCCTTACCAACTTGCCCTCATTCCTCTCACCACTAATCCACGCGAGAGGAAATGAGAACGTCTAATTCACTTTGAAAATCGACATCCTAAATCTCTAAAACTCCTATTTTCCACATTCAAATCTATTGTTGGATAGTCTTCCCTCTTCTTTTAACTCTACTGCTCTTTTTAATTGTACCTATTACAATCACTTTTTCTTGTGGAAGTTACTTCCCAGATTCCATTTCAAAGGACAACAAATGTCTCCTTAATTTTACTGTCCCCACAGTCTGACACTGCCCAATGTATTTCCAATTCAAAGCAACAGAGGGGCACAGTGTAGCTTTTTGGAGAAAAGGCTGAACAAGAATGACTGCTATTACCCTCTGAGAACACACTACGGCTCTGCTTCTCCTGTGGTTCCCCTGTGCGACTAGACTGATTTTTCAGAAACCTACCAGGTCTTCTGACAATGCCTGGTGCTGACCAAAGCATCTATCTCTTGATGCTACAACATACAACTACATTTTTTCCTCACAGACTAAGATCATCTATTATGACAATGCATGTTCATGAAGACAATTTAATTTCACTAAGCACAACTGCTTTATATCTGGCTGCACAGGCAAACTGTCTTTCAGGCAAAAAAAAAAAAAAAAAAAAAACCTCTTAAAAGGGAAGATGATTTCTATTGTTAGATGATCTGTTATTCCCATTCCGTCAGCTATGTAACTGTCAAGTCAATAACAACAGAAACTAGGGAAGACTGTGTAGGACACTGATTCAGAGAATCAAAAAGTTAATGGAAGATACCTTTAATGTAATTTTATAGATTCTCTTTTCAACCCAGAGACAACACTTCTATAGTCACTTGGACATCAGGTAAAGTTCTCACCTTCTTGGATAGGTGGGAGTGTGTGGGAGTATGTACTATGCAGGGCTAATGAGATCTTCCTTGGGTTTCTGGATAGTCGTGCCCATGTAGGTACCGCTCACTTGGCCTACCTCTCTTTGCCCACTCAACTGAGCAGGCATTCACAGGACAGTAAAAAGACAAACAGAGTGCCTCAAGATACTGGGCACCTTCAAGAGTTTTGAATGTAGTTTTGGTTAAGTTACCTTGATCCCTAAGTATCTTTTTGAAAATCTTTTCTATTTGTTGTTGGTGTTCTTTTCATCTCAGTGAGGACCATTCTGTGATGAACTTACGGCATACAGCAATTAACAAAAAACTACAGCTCATTTGGTTACATCAAACCCAGCAATAAAAAAAGTACAAGAAGCTATCTTTAGACTGGAATGCAGAACTGTGAATTTAAAAGTATTAACATCTCAACTATTGGTGGAGGGGCAGTACAAATAAATTCAAAACCAAAAATGTGTGAGACAAATATCACTAGTCACTTTTATTTTGCTCTAACACGATAATGGCTGTTTTCGATGTTTACTTAACCTTTTGTCTCTGCCCTATTGTTCCATGACTTACCTGCAGTTGGAGAGGGCCTAAGCCCGGTGTTGCTGCGGCAGCAGCTGCCATGGTAGTTGGGATCAGCTGAACAGGGTAAGGGTCACCTAAGTGAGAGAATAATAGAGGCGTCAGCACCTTTTATCTACTCTCCACCTGCAAATTAAACTCATGCGTTCACTCTTTCCAAAAGCCTTCTTTTGTGTGTCTTGCTGGGGCCTAATGAAAAGCTCCATTGTGCAGCCTTTTACTAGCACTCTTTTCACAATCCTGGCTGAGAGAGGAATGTGAATAAAAGGCACAAGCAATTAAGGCGGAAACCTCATCCTTTTTTTCATGATGTATTTAGGAAAATGGGAGGAAAAAATACGCATTGATCAGAGAGCTGCACTTTACAACACACACACACACACACACACACACACACACACACACACACCCTCCACACCTGACAATCCTGATATGAGCACACTGAATCCTCAGCAAATTTAAAATGTTGGTATAAAAGGAACTTAACTAAACTGAACTCTTTTAACACATGAAACTAAAGATTTATGCCAAGTAGGTTATCTTTTGAATGCTACATTATTGTCTTAATTCAAATCACCTCTTAATAAATTTATGGTAAACACTATTCATTTTGAAGTTACATAAATACTGGTATCTTTATTATTCCAGAGACAAATGCCTATGTAAAATATAGTATGATCAAATAAAGGGGATCCATTGTATGGTAAATGGATGAAATTGGACTTTTAGTGGTGAACTCAATATAGTATATACATGTGCTGATTTATAATGATGCTCAACTGAAACCTCTATTTCATACAATGTTTAAGAAACAATGTTTCAGGGCCTCCCGGGTGGCGTAGCGGTTGAGTGCTGGGTTGCAAAGCTCCCTTCGGCCTCTGCAGCGCCAGTTCGATCCCCCGCTGCTCCCCGGCCACCGGAGGAGGGTCCCGCATGGCGGGCAGACCTCTCCTACACCCGCTGCTCCCCTCAACAGTGTACTTCGGTCCTTCTGCCTGCTCTGCTCCCCGCTCTTGCTCTGGTGGATTCTCTTACCCTCCTGCGCTTCTGACTGTACCCAGTGCTTGTATAAACAAACAAACAAATAAATAAACAAATAAATAAATAAAATATGTGCCTCTTTAAGAAAAAAAGAAGAAAGAAACAATGTTTCATACAATGTTTCAAACAATGTTCAAAAAACATTGTTTAACTAATATAGACAGAAAATAGATGGCTTCTTCCCAAAGGATTTCTGATTGTGGGTCTATAAAATAATCTTAGTAATTCAGAATTAATCTTAAATTTGTAACATATATGATTCATAGTTGCACACATACATATATATGTATGTATACATACAGAAGATTATAAAGTTTATTTGCGATACAAGAACATACTTTTTTTTCAACTTAATAAGAGGTTTAACAAACTTTCTGCACGGAGCTCACTGATATGCTACAACAGGTATATACATCATTAGTTGTCTAAAACATGAATGTAAAAATAATTGGAAACAACTATAAGAACAATTTTCTAATATGGAAAACATTTTTAAAAAATTAATTTGTAAAAAACTAGTTGAATATCAATATGACTGAAAATAACCCAGTTAATAGGTTCATTCAAAAATACTAAGCACCTCCTCTGTGTTATGAATTCCTTTTGACACAAAAAATGGAGTCTTAATTAAAGAAGAATAATATACAGAAGCACATTTACTAGGAATTTAATGAAGTTTAAAGCTTTGGGGGTTCTGGGAAAGGCCCCATAGCAGTACAGCAGGAGGCTATGTTTTTATATTTGCCAGCTTTCTTAATTTTTATAAATGAATATCCACTCTTGCTCTTAAATGCATACATATAAAAATCATGAGCACATAATTTTCATATTTTCACTCTTACAGAGTTCCTCCAAATTATATTTTTCAAGATTCAAAATATAGGAGGTCCTGAGTAACATTAAAAGATAATTCTGATGAAATAACATGATTTGAGGACCTGGGTTTGTTACATGTTATATTACGTAAAGCTGCAATTTCCAAGAATCTTAAGTGAGGACTTACTATACCTGAATTTACTTCTGTGATCTGACCTTCCTACATCTTACAGATTATTTGATGATGAGGATAAATTATAATGACTGGATTATACTGTGGGTATTCCAAACCCGCTCTAAGAGGTTAAAAGATAGCCTACAGGGAGAAGTCATGCATAATTTGAAAGTGGAATTAAGTGAGAGCTAGTCAGGCAAAGAAGGGAAGGAAAACATTCCAGGAAAGGAAATCATTTTCATGACGACTCAGTCAAATAGGAATACTTTTTTTCATAGTCTAGTGTCTACCTTGCTGAAGTTCAGAGTATGGGGTGATGTATGGCTTTACAAACAATAGCAAAGAATCTAAACTTTACACTACATTCTAAAGGAATCCATGAATATGGAATAGAAATACTTGGGCTATAGGCTGAAAGCTATAATCCTCAGGAAAAGAACAGAGAATACGTATAAAGAACGTGAATCATGGTTTGGACTATGTTAGTGACGTTGGGATAGTGGATCATGGTGAGATTCAAGTGACATGTAAGAATAATTGTGTACACATGACAGTAGGAGAAGACTCAAGAATGACTCCCAGAGTTTTCACTGGAATGCATGATCAGAGAATGGTACTATTTTTGGGTTTGTGAAAATGGAAAAGAAGCAAGATGGCCACATTGGGCCTGGTATGGAGGCATGAGGCAGGTAGGACCAAAAAGTTCTGTTCTGGATATTTTTAGAAATCCAAGGGAGGTGTTCACTGAGGCATCTGATAAACATGTAGGATTTTAAGGGAGAAATCAACATAGGAGACATAAATTTGACATGTGAGCAAATGTCTGTAATTAAAAGTATAAGTCTTCATGAAACCATTTAGGACTTAACTGTAGATTTGAAAAAAAGTTAAGAGTTCTGAGGATTGGAGTATAGGATACACTAATATTTATAGTCAGGAAGATAACTAAAAACTGAGCAAGAAAAACTGAGGAGAAAGTTTTCCACAAGTCATATAAAGAAATGTATTTTAAAAGAGTGATCTGTTTCTTCAAATGCTGTATTTAGTAATGTGGGAGGCATCTGTGACTTCTACACGGGCAACCTTAGTGAAGTGGAGGGTGAGAAAACCAGCCTGTAGTGGGTGCCATCCAGAGAATGACTGAAAGTAAGACCTTGAGGCAGAAAGGTTACAGCTTGCGTTTCAAAGAATTAAGTTCTCAAAGAGCAGCACAGACATCACCTATAAGATTCTTAGAACAGCAAAATTTCAGACCCCATCTCAAATTCGTGGTAGGCAGCTTCTGTGATGGAACCAATGATTCCCACTTTCTGCTATTGATGACCTTGTGTAATCCCTTTTTCTTGAACAAAGGGTAAAAGTGATGAAAACATAAATAAGGGACCAGGAAAAAGACTAATTATAATAATGTAAAAATAAGGGGGGTGGGGATTATGTGGGGACTATAACCAAGATAAAAATGCATACATTGGATCATATGGAAGTTCTATGTTTAGTAGGTCCAGAAATCTCCACACAGCTTTCCATAGTGGTTGGACCAGTTTGCACTCCCACCAACAGTGCAGAAGAGTTCCTTTTTCTCCACACCCTCGCCAACATTTGTTGTTACTAGTTTTTTTAATATGTGCCATTCTCACTGGTGTAAGATGGTATCTCATGGTAGTTTTGATTTGCATTTCCCTGATGACAAGTGATGTTGAACATTTTTTCATATGCCTGTTGGCCATTTGCATTTCCTCTTCAGAGAAGTTTCTTTTTAGCTCTTCTGCCCATTTTTTGACTGGATTATTTTCTTTGTTGTTGTTGAGTCTCGTCAGCTCTTTGCAGATTTTTGTGATCAGTCCTTTATCATTAGTGTTGGGTGCAAAAATGTTCTCCCAGTTGGTGGGGTTTCTCTTTGTTTTTGTTATTGTCTCTTTTGCTGTGCAGAAGCTCTTTAATTTGATATAGTCCCAGCTGTTTATCTTTGCCTTCACTATCACTGCTACCCAAAAGACACAGAAACATCAATTCCAAAGAGCACCTGCACCCCTATGTTTACAGCAGCACTGTTTACAATAGCTAAGCTTTGGAAACAACCCAAATGCCCAAAAATAGATGACTGGATCAAGAAGATGTGGTACATATATACCATGGAATATTACTCAGCATTCAAAAAAGATAAACACATGCAATTTGCAGCAACATGGATGGCGCTGGAAGGGATCATGCTCAGCGAAATAAGCCAAAAAGAAAAAGAAAAATACCGGATGGTCTCACTCATAACAGGAATCTAGAAAACTTAAATAAGGGACCAGGAAAATGAATAACTTTAAGAAAGTGAAAATCAAAATCAACAAAAAACTATGAACCAGAGATACTTTTAGCGGGGGCGGGGGGCGGGAGGGGAGGGATTGGGGTCAGAATGGGGGGGCTGCAATTGTATGGGGGATATAACAATAAAATTTATTATTTAAAAAAAAATGCATACATTGTGCAAAAATGAAAAATGATGAAAAATATATAAAATAAAAAATAAAATAAAATAAATTATCAGTAAAAAAAAAAGTGATGAAGCATTACTTTTAAGATAAGGTTATTTAAAAAAAAAAAAAAAAAAGAGAGAAACTAGCTCTATCTGGATTACCCCATGCCTGCCTTCTCTCATCTCTTAGAGAATGTGTCTGTAGTGTGAACTGCCCTATGGAGAGGTCCACAAAGCAAAGGAATGATATCTTCCATCAGCAGCAAGAATGAGGTCTGCCAGAAGCCAAACAGATTCCTCTGCAAATCAAGCCTAGGCCTATGTCCTGACTGCACCTATGAAAAAGATCCTGAGCCACAGGTATCCCTCATGGCTGTGTCCAAATAAATACTTGTTGTTTTAAGTTACTAAGTCTTGGAACAATTTGGTACAGTCACAAGCATGTACCTTCTGAATTAGAACTCAAATTCTGATAAGGTTCCCAGATGATTCAAATATATTTGAGAAGTTCTGGAACAGGCAATTATACCAAGGTGTTTTGCAAAAGCTGTGCAACATGAGTTTTCAACTAAATTTTATTA